TTTTTTTTTTTTTTTTTTTTTTTTTTTTAAAAGAAATAATTTTCTTTAGAAAGGCTGGTTCTGGCTCAGATGGGTAAAGTTGGTCAATCTTAAAGGGGCAGCTGCCCCTTTTTTTTTGTCCAAACTAAATGTTTTTATATTTAGTTTAAATTGCGTTGGGCTGAATTCTGTTTGAACTTTCACCCTGGGTTTAATTTAATTTGCTTGCTTTGACATCTTTGTTTGGTTTGTTTCTTCATCCTAGGTGATTTGAAGCTTTCGTGAGGATGGAAAACAAGGAGGAATCCATCTGCAGCTCCGTCAGCGACCTTACCTGGGAGCAGGTGAGCCGGCTGAATGAAGTCCTCACAGAGGTCGTTCCCGTTCACGGACGAGGGAACTTCCCCACCCTAGAGGTGCAGCTGAAAGACATAGTGGCACGGGTGCGGACTCACCTGGAGCTGAGCGGCATCCGAGTGAAGGACATCCGTCTCAACGGCTCCACCGCCAGCCACGTCCTGGTGCAGGACATCGGCTGGAGCTACAAAGACCTGGATTTCATCTTCAGGGTGGACCTCCCCACCGAGGCGGAGTTCAGGCTGGTTAAGGATGTTGTTTTGGGAATCCTGCTGGACTTTCTGCCGGAGGGCGTGAACAAGGAGAAAATCACTCCCATGACTCTGAAGGACGTGTACGTCCAGAAGCTGGTGAAGGTCAACACGGAGCAGGACCGCTGGAGCCTCATCTCGCTGTCAAACAACAACGGCCGCAACGTGGAGCTGAAGTTCGTCGACTCGATACGCCGACAGTTCGAGTTCAGCGTGGACTCCTTTCAGATTGTGCTGGACTCCATCCTCTCCCACTACGAGCAGACGCAGCCGGACATGTCTGAGGCCTTTCACCCTGCCGTCAGAGGGGAGAGCATGTACGGAGACTTCAACGCCGCGCTCGGCCACCTGCGCGGCAAGCTCATCGCCACGAAGAGACCAGAGGAGATCCGTGGTGGGGGGCTGCTTAAGTACTGCAACCTGCTGGTGCGGGACTTTCAGCCGGCCAATCAGGAGGAGTTCAAGGCCCTGGAGAGGTACATGTGCTCCCGCTTCTTCATAGACTTCCCCGACATTGGAGAGCAGCAGCGCAAAGTGGAGGCTTACCTGATGAGCCACTTCATCGGCGAGGAGAAGAGCAAGTATGACTACCTCCAGATCCTACGGAAGGTCGTTAACGAGAGCACCGTGTGCCTCATGGGCCACGAGCGGCGGCAGACCCTCCACCTCCTCTCGCTAATGGCCTTCAGGGTGCTGGCGGAGCAGAGCGCCATCCCAGACGCTTCCTGCGTCACCTGCTACTACCAGCCGGCGCCGTACATCAGAGACCACAACTTCAGCAACTACTACGTGGCCAACCAGAACATTCCAACATGGCTGCCGTGTAACTGACGAGACAAACGGGTCACTGGACGACTCGACCGCAGCTACTGCTTTTCAAGAGGGAAGGAACTGATTTGAGAAAAAAAAGATTCAGAAAAAAATATTAAAAGAGGGGAAAAAATGTCAGAAAAAAAAAAACCACAGTGGCAATAAATGCGACGTTTCTCTTAAGGCACATTTTCAGTGGACAAGTTTGTTTTTTTTTTTGTTTTTTTTTTTGCATTCTTTCTCATTCCTTTTCTGCAGAGGTGTTAACGTTTTTAAGTGTTATTTTTGAATCTTTCTGGGTGTATACCTTTAATCTTAGTGGAGACGTTTGTGCCTTAACCTCTAGCTGTCAGGTTCACCCCTCCAGAGTTATGAGTATGGATTGTTGTTAGAAGAAAATGGAAAATTAAATGCTGTAGCCTTCAGTTTGGGTTCCTTGTTTAAAAAAAAAAAAAAAAGAATGTGTGGGTGGGGGGGCTATGTGCTCGGTGTATGTGAAGCTTGTATCATTGGTTGTAGTTCATGATCAGCTCCATACCTGCCAGCAGTGCCTGATATTTGTAAAAAATGCAAACCTTTATTTTAAAATTTTCACTGTGAACTTCAGGGTACCCAGAGTTCTGGCTTTGAGCCACGCTCTCATTCTGATCGTCCCTTCCTCCTCTGTTTTTAAGTTGCGTTCAGACGAAGTGACCTGCGGAGGTCTGATTTGGGTTGGATGGCAGCCTGTGGAGGGAATGTGCCCAGCAGGGATCCTTACTGGCTGCTCCTACCTTAAAAGGAGCAGCACATGGAGAGACCTGCAGGGTCGTCACTGAAAAGGGATCCTCCACTGACGCAGCCCCGCTAACCGACCCTGGAGCCGCTGGCCGTCTATTATTATCCTCCCTCCCTCAGCTCGGCTGCCTTACATGTGTTGCTGAGTCACTTCCTGTCCTTCATCAGGTGCCTGTTGGCATATTGCAGCATTTGAACCCCTTTTGTGGTCATGGGAGGGCAGACGGGACGTCTCTCCTCTCAGACTTGCATATTGATTAATGAAACCAGCTGTAAATGTCCAAATTTCTATTTCCGGTAAATCCTATTATTAGCCGTCACCGTTAGACGCTCTGAATGCTGAGGCTGTGAACATTTTAGCCAGTCATCTCCTCTCTTGTCTTCCTGATATTGCAGCCTGATCACCACAGAGGAGATTAGAGTTAAACTTGAGTAAATGGCCACTCCCATCTCCCGATAGTTTCTTGGAAGCGTAGTTCCTGGCGCGGCTAGATTACCTTATCAGGACGGCTCGCGGCGCGGCGCTGCTAAGGGTTGTCAAGGAAGGAAGAGCTTGGCATGGCCTGCAGGTCGGGAGGTCGGGTCCTGATGTGTTCAGCACTTCTTTTCTTTCTTTCTCCCTGCTGTCAGCTCTGAGCCACAAGCAGCTTAACAACCAGCAACTCAAGCAACAAAGTGCCTTTTTGTTTTGGAGAGCTGAATATTTTTAAAGGGGTTTTAACTTTGATCAGGAGAGTCAGTTTGTTTCTTAAAAACACCCAGTTAAACTTTAGAAGACTGTCATTGCTGTTCTAGATTAATCATTTCATACTTTTTTTTTGTCCAGTTTGGGATTGAGAATAATTATGGCTTAGACGTTTGTTTGTGTTTTGCTTTCTTAATTTTCAGTCTCAAAGCTTCGTGTGCAGTCGTTCCTGTCGGGCCTTTCAGACGTTCGTTTTTTCCGTCTTTGTTCTGCCCAGTTGGAATCTGATGCTTTAAATGACAGGATTTGATTTGCAGAGGAAAGGTTTCACATTTTAAAGCTCAGTTTAACCGCCGGTCTTCCATCGAAGCGCCTCCTGGGGAGCTAAGAGTTTTTGTTGGGTTTTTTGTTTCTGATTGTTCAGCCTTTATCCAAAAAAAGATTAAAAAAAAAAAAAATGCAAAAAAAACAGCAATACCTGAGGTAAACACGGCGTAATGTAGTGTGTGGAGACCCCATCAGTGGGAGAGCACAGTTTTAGAGGATGATCTGCGCCTTCCTCCCTCAGATTTAACATTTTTGGCCTTAAAAGCCAGATGGACTTCTGAGCTGGAATGAAATCTCTCCTCTGTCTGCGTATATTCTGTGAATAACCATTTGTGCCACTTTCTCCGGCATTGTAACTCCTAATGCATTTTAGGGTCGATGACAAACGTCCATCGTGTGCTTTGGTTGTTAGTTCCCAGCCTGCTCTCATGTGTTTACGGTTCATGTCTGAAGCAGGGCTGCTGATGGTGTTTAAAACACTTTGAGAAGGAAGACGAGAATCGGGTGGCATCTGCTGATTTATGTTTATTTTCAGTTGTTTTGGCCCCCACCTTCCTGCTGTAACCCTTTCACATCGAACCCCCCCCTCCTTGTTTGGGCTGTGGTCTATCAGTACAGAGTGTTTCCTCTTTTAACACCTGTAGATGTTTTCAGGAGACGCACAGAGCCTAATGTTTGTGCGGGTGTCACCATAAGAATGTGATTTTTTTTTTTTTTTTTTTTTTTTGGGGGGGTGGGGTGGGGGTGTAGAAGCTCTGCTACAGTTTCTTTATTAAAAAGTTGTGAATTATTTTTCCAGCAGACCTGTGTTTACCTAAATGTAATGCAGAAGGTGGGTTTGTTGAGAACAGCTGGAAAAAGGGGGAAATTTGTCGCACTTTTTCTGTATTTTTTGGGAGATAGTAAAAATAAAGAAGCATTTCTGTCAGCCTTGTGATCGTGATGATGGCTATGATGGTACTATTTCATTTTTCAGCACTTTTACCTCAATTGAGTTTTCCTTTTTGAAATGGAAAATGTAAAAATTACACCAGGAAAGTGTGTTTTGAAGAAGAAAATGATGAATAAAAAGACTTTTAAATGCATTCTTTTTTTAGTGGTTTATTCTTTTTTATATATATATATATATATATATATAGATAAAGCTGAATTGTTTTGGACTAATACAGTATTTCTGCATTCTTTTAAAAGAAAAAAAAAACAAAAACTAAAACCTGTTCCAGTTATTTCTAAATCAGGAGCCTCATTGTAAACTTTCTCTAAGGATAATTCATCTAAAGCATGAAACAGGATCTACAACAGAGGATGTTACACGCAATACACTGCAGAAACTTTATAAATGAACTTATAATTATGTAGATCATGTAAATATTTAACCTTAAAATCCAACATTTGCAAAGAAAAACGATACTAAAACCCCATAGTTATGAAAAAACATCTGAGGTGCATTAAATTCATTCTATGTATTTATAATTCTAATCCATGTTTGTCAGAATAAAAGCACATTTAGATAAAACATAAAAAATATGCCTCACATGGCATTCCTGTTGCCTCCATTTAAACCTGTTTTGTGGTTTTAAATATACTTAAAATCCACTTTTTATAGTGTATTTATGTAATACTCTTACATGTTCACTCATTAAGTGGGAAAATAACAGCTTAAATAGTTTGTGTAATTTGAATTTTTTGCTTAATTAACCTTATCGGCTACTTTTAAACACTGAACACACTAGGGCTGAGTTAAAAAAAAATCGATTTCATCAATTTTGAATTGATTCCTTTAAATTTTTGCAAAATCGATGTCTAGGGAATGAGATCGATTCATTTTATAGTGACTCGCGTGACGTTCACATTCAAATGAGCAGGAAAGATGCACTCAACATGACTTCAAGCCAGACAGCTGCAAATATCGCCAATAGGTTGATTGAAGACATTAACAAATGGGAGCTGACCAGAAAACGCCCTGTAGTTGTTACGGACGACGCTGCACATGTGGTTTGTGCAGTGAAGATAATGCAGCTCATGCATGTCGTCTTGCTTGAGTGAGGCTTCACTTTATCGCTTTTCACAAACAAGTTTGCACTTTTGAGACAGTTTTGTTCACATCTCATGTTTAAACTGTCCGATTTACAAGTTTGCACTTTGTGTTTAATATGACAGGAAAAAATAAAATACATGAGTCATTGTTGTAAAAACAGATCGAATCGAAATGAATCGATTTAAAACTGTGTTAATCAAAATCTAATCGATTCAGGACTTTGGTGAAATTACCCAGCCCTAGAACACACACAGTGCTACGGTTTGAAAATGCTTTTATTTAAACGGTAAGGTCTAAATCCTTTTGGGAGAACATGGTTGGTGAAACCAAATCTACAGCTGAACATGGTGGTGGCAGCACTATGCTGTGGGATTCAGAAACCAATCGGTTTCAGTAACTTCTACAGTAGGTGGCTACTCATCCAGATCAGCCAGGGAACGTTTTCACCAGGAGAAACGAGGTCTGGACCAGCCCGGCCAGAGTCCAGAACTTCAACAGAACCTCATATGTAGAGACTCAAGTCCAAGGTGGCTGAATCTGGGGTTCCGTGGTTCATTAAAAGTCATTCAATTAAAATTTTTTAATTAAGGTCTTAATTGGCATTAAAATTCATTCAATGTGATTATTGTGGCATAAAAAAAAAAAAAAAAAAAAAAAAAACGTATAAAAAAATTTTGTCAGATATGTTATATCGCGATGTTTTATTGTAAAGCTGTATGTTTGGTAAAGAAGCTCAAGGTGGAGAAAAAGCAAGATTGGGAAAATGCTGATTTCAACAAAAGTGGCTGGAAAATTAGAAATTTGGGAATCGGCTGCAGTCTGTCAACAGTAGAAATGACAAAGGATTTTGCTATGTTTTGTTTATAGATATATATATATATATTTAAATATATATTGCATATGAGAGCCATGGCTACTTGTTAATGGCATTAAAATTATTTCTAAAAGTATTAAACAGCATTAAAAAGCATGAAATTACAGTTTCTTAATTCTTATATAAACCCTGTGAATGCTATAGTTTTAACAAAGGGCACTTTACCAAAGTATCTGTGGTTATGCAACTTTTAAAAAAAACTTTTTGCATAGTTAACCCTCCAGCAGGTTTGTTTGTTCGACAAACATGTTTAGCGTCTCATGATCCAACTTTAGCAACACCTCAAAATTTAACACCATTTAGAGCCTCTCACCACTTCACCTAAAGACTCTGGATTAGTTCTGCGAGCTCCTTCAGCTGCAGCATCTTTCACGCCGTTGGTAGTTAAACTTTCTGGGGCTAATTTGATTAGTTAAGTGGAAGAATATGGTTGACATCTCAGACGACCATGAGGACTGAAAACATCTGAAGCGTGTTAGATGTATCCTGACAGCTTCACACCAATTAGGAGCTTCAAATGCCCCAGCAGAGTGGCCTTTAAGCTGCTTTTTTTCTTAAATGTTCCCATCTTGGAGAGTGTCCTGACTGCACATTGATCCTGTGGGCATCCTGACGGGAACCTAAACCAGAGATGTTTTCCGTCTGCATCACTGTGGAAGCGGTTAGCGGGGAGATCCATCGCCTCAGCAGTCTGCTCACACAGAAAAACTGCTCGTTCTGATCCAATGCAGCGGAAAACACTTCAGC